TATATATGGCCTATATAATAAATAATGAAACAATATTAGTATTGTTGCTTTTAATTGAGCAACAAACAATTGAATCGATGGCATGAATTGTGTACATATTTGAGTATACAGAATTAAGAAACGAATATCATATGTATGAACTTTAGAAATTCTTCAGTGGAGGAAACCAATTTTCGACCTATTCTTATATAAATTATATATGTATACATATTTAAGATATATATATATATATATATATATATATATCATCATATATATGTATTGTAATATAACGTATTAAAATTATAAGATGCGTAATACAGTAGTAGCATTGATAAAAAACTGGTTATAGATTTGTATTAGATAATTTTTTTAAAATTCACGTTGTTAAAATGTATGTTGTTTTTTATTGCCATTTGTTCCAACTCGCATACTTTTTTATGCAAAAGCCTGTCAATCATTTGTCATCGATATTAAAATATATTTCATGTTATTTCCAAAGTGATGGTATGTATATGTGTGGTAGTAGGCCAAGTCTATGGAAAGCAAAGTGTTTTATTGTTTTAATTTTCAAACTAGAGCAGTCACTCGATAGAGAATTTAACTCGGCGGTCAATTGATTGTATAATTTACTTAATACCAGACAAAATGAGTTTTTTGCACTCCGATTCTCTCTATAAATGTATACATCGTGTTGATGTTATGAAGTTGAACACCAAACATATTTTCCATCTACCGTGGAGATAAACGTAAACATATAATAGAATTGGTGAAGATTTCAAATAGTTCACCACAAAAGTGAGTAAAACTAAACTTAAAATCACCGATAGTTGAACAAATAACCCATAACGTAACTTTTTTGAGTCTTCAGTGCGGCGTTTATTTAGAATAGAGTGGCGTTTATTCTTTATGTTCCAAATTACGGGCGCCATCCCTTGTCATTGGAGATACATGGCGGAGCTTGTATCTTCGGCAAAGGCACGGTTACGACGACTATATGAAAACAATGTGATATATGAGTCTGTCTTGTCCATCATTTAAAAAAGCTGTTTATTCTATATATTTTTTGAATTGATGCCAAATACAATAAAATATACCAGAAATATAGAAAAACTAGACATGCTCCTTTTACGCTGCAGTAAAAGCATAGCCTCCCTACAAAGTGATTCTTCTCCGAGAATTGACAAATAAGAGTTTGAAACTAACCATGAGACTTAACAAACAACATTAAAAAAAAAAAAAAATAAATAAATAAATTACAATTTCACCTTAATTACAAAAAATATTGTTTATGGGAATTATGATAGTATTTAGCATAAATGTCCTGATTAGTACCAAAACAATAAGGGCCGTCTTTATTACCATCTTGTCTTGCATTCTGCCAAGTTCGAAAACCAATCGGACTTACCAAACTTTAGTTATGGTAACTAGCCTAAATTACCTGATTACTGAAATATTAATTATGCAAAGTAGTAATTAGTATATTCGTCTTATTACCATCTTGCATTCTGCAAGTTTGAAACCAATCGGACTTGCAGATTAGTAATCGTGGTAAACAAACAATAACCAACAACGACAGGGACAACATGAGTAAGAACACATGTGAAAACAACAGCCTCCTAAGAGCTTCTATCCAGCCGGTTTTCCACTGCAGCAGAATTTATTCGCGCGAATCAAAAGCATTGTTCATGCGCAAGCGCATTCACATTTCTATCAGAGTTTCGCTCCAGCGAAATCAGTACAGTAGTTCGAACTGTTCCTACTTTTTCCGAAGCGAAAAAAGTGCGCAACCAATCAGAGCTCAGTGACGTACACACAATTAATCAATCTGGAACTATTTTTATTTACAGTATGTGGTGATTTATCACCAACAGCACATCAATTAAGGAGATGATGCAAATTCAGCGCACCAGTAACATAAAATCAATATTCCAGCAAAAAAAAACAAAAAAAAAAACAGACGATAGAATACCGTATTTATTCGAATAAACGCACCGGGCGATAATTTTTCTTTGAATAAACGCCCTATAAATGACTGTTAACAAAACTAATGGAAGAAACAGCATTCTCAACACATTCTATTAATATTCTACTCCAGTAGAATTAAATTTTGTCTAACCTGGTTGGGATTAATAAGTCCTTTCGATGACGCACTAACACATTTTGATCGTAATTATGTGTTGTAAGGCGTTTATTTGTGTATATGTATCAAAAAAATAAACACCCCCCCCCCAGTCAAAACCATTCTCAACAATAAACGCCCGGGGCATTTATTTGAATAAATACGGTATTTATACGAACACTGTTTTTAGATCAATGTGATGATTATATATTTTTTTAAATTCTTATTTTAATAATTCTGGCAAAAACAATACTGTATAAAAATATTAAAAATACAAAAAAAAAAAAAAAAAAAAAAAAAAATCACAAACATAAAGAATAAAGGTAAGCCTGGAAACAGCAAAAGCATAACCACTGTCATCTTAGAGCACTGGCTGCTCCCATAAATAATCTAATGGATAAATATTGCAATACAATGTAATGAATACATTTTAATATATGATACCCCTTGCATAGTTTTAATTGCCTCCAACCCCTGTTGATGTACTGAGCCCTGTAACAGACAGAAATATATTTTCAGCCTCCACCGAAAATTTACATAATCGCTGGTGTTAACCACATTCTTGTCCGAATGACACAAAAAAGTAACAAATATTACCATGCTTTTTACAATTTGTTATATATTGTAACATGTACAATGTAACAATATAATATATTTTCATAATCATTCCGACAAGCCTTTTTGATTCATAGAGGCAAAAATGATGATCTAATGGTCTTGTGTCTTCTAATTATCCATCTAATGGTGTTGTGTCGTCGTAGTATCTATCCATTTCATACCACATAATACATCGACCTTCATAGTAAAACAATTTTGGAGGAATATTTCAACACTACAATCAGTAAACATTCTATTCTTGACCTATATTAAAGAACAGGTCATAGATTATCAGATTTACGATAATCTGTTAATCTATCAATTAGAAATTTTTAGAATGAATTAAATACATTCTTTTCTGATTTGGCACATCAAAATTTTACAACAAACGTATATATTTATAAATTTTATTTAATTACAAATTATATACAGTACATTAAACACATTCAAGACTGCATAACAGTTGAATGTTACAAATTTCATCTGACTAATAACAGGTTTCTAATAAGTTGTGTTGTTGATGTTGTTCATTATCAACCTTTCATCAACAATGCCAGAAGTTTAGCTCGTGTTTTTGGCATCAGTTGTAGCTCCCAGCCATTTTTACCATTTTCTGCATTAGATGCAGCAGCATTCATCATTCGTTTCTAGACTAAGTGAATTTCGACCCACAGCCAACAGATAAACATGCCTGAAGTCCCTTATATAGAATATTAAATAAAGTCTACTTCATCCATTTGTTTATTTCTTTATAAACATATACAAAACATCCCCACTCCTCCCTCCAATCTGACAGAACCAGTGGTGGCACCAGCTGGGGGACAAGGGGCTTAAGTTCCTCCCCCGTCGGACAGAGTTCGTTGGGCAGTCAGACCATAAAACATATAAAAATAGGCCCGCACCAAGGCAACACATGTCTGTCACTGTCTGAAAGTACAATTTCCGGCCATCCAGAGGTTGCTATTCTTAAAAAATCTCATTTGGGAGGGGAACCCACTCTCAACCCCTTCCCCCAGCTCGAGCCTATGAGTTCAAGTCTCCCCTGTCGGACAACTTAGTCCCCCCTAGAAAATATATCCTAGAGCCACCACTGGACAGAACTGCTTTTGTAGGTTTATTATCTATAGAGCTTTGACAACTTCTGATAATAAAGCTGGATAGTTTTGATCGATAGTAAGAGATGGCAGAGAGAGTGTATTGTCACCATCCCTAACAGACACTACAGAGAGATGTGCAAGAGGTGTTACTGCCTGGTTTCCTCCTGTTTCAAGGGATAAACTTGGAAGAAGACTTTCAACAGACTGCACCATGAACGGGTCATCCCCTACCAGATTTTTGTTACGGTCAGTCCTATTCACTTTCTTTGGTCTGAAAAATAAAGAAAATAATATTGCATAACATTGCTTCCTACTTCTTCCATCACATACCACTCTCTGTCTGTGACCACATACCACATGGAATACTCCTTCATAAAAATCGACTGTCTCCTATCAACCACTTTACCACATGCCACACCTCCCACCAATGTGCCAATCTACCCACATCTGCAAAGAGACAGCAACATGACTCCTTTGAATCACCTACCTTCCCCTCTTGATTATATTACTACTTTTCTTTTCCACATCAATAACATCAAACATTACTACTTTTCTTTTCCACATCAATAACATCAAACAGGCTATAGAGAAGATCAGTGTTGGCGGCAGTTGTCCTGATTGTTCGTATAGGGCGCCTTGATTGTTTAGGCTCTTTTTTCTCATCACTGTTTTTGTCTCTCTCATCTGGTGGTGTCACTGGTCTTACCTCTGTTAAATTTAACTATTTGCTTAGTTATTAATATTTCAGCAATAACAATGTCATTATTAGTAAAAGTTAAAGAATAATTAAAAAATGATGATCATCTTCATCATAATGATGATAAAACAAATATAACAACAAGGTTAATGATAATAAAAATATTTTATAGTTAAATGATAATATTTAAAATAATTAGCAACAAAAATATTCTTATCAAATGGATGCTATTAATAACATCTTTATTTATTATAAGAATTGTAGATTATCAAATTCTGCAAAATGATTAATTGAGCAATTTAATCAATTGAAAAAAATGTCCTTTACCACTCAAGTCTTCGTTTGTTTTTTCATGCTTCCAAAGAGGAGGAAGAACTGTGTAAGTAGAACCAGGGGGCAGTGAAGCAGGACTGTTGGGCTGTTGCCAGAAAGATTGTGGTAAAGCACGTCTCCGCATAGGCATTGGGTCTACAGAAATGATAATGTTTAATTGTAACTATGATAATGAATGATAAACAAAATGTATAAGAAACAAAATTAATGTATTTATAACTTAGCCTCAGCATTTCCACCCCCATACCGTAAAACCTCAAATTGAAATCCAGTGGGCTTAATCTCGAGAAGCCCATCTCGAATTGAAGTCCCCACTCTTTAATTTGCAAAATTAGCCTCGAAAAGATGCCCATCTCGAAAACAAGCCCCATGGGCTTCATTTCAAGATAGCATAAGCTGCTTATCGAGATAATACAGTATATACACTGTACATGAATTTCAAACACAAAGTAAATTAAAAACAAACTTGGTTTATACAGTAGTTTAGGTGATTTAATGTCAGTTAAATCATGGAGGAAATATATTAATATATCTTATCTTAATATATTTCCTCCATGGTTAAATACACACCATGATACAGATTGATGTTACAGTGGCTGCATTTATTGTTTTATAGGACAAATTCACAAAATTCACAACATTCATTTTGAAAAGAAGCCCCCCCACCCTCTCTTTAATTTGCAAAAGTAGCCTCGAAAAGAAGCCCATAACAGAAGCCCATCTTGAAAAGAAGCCCATCTAAAGTTTGCAAAAAAAAAAAAAGAATTTGAGGTTTTACAGTATATTTATTATAGCACATCTAGATGGCTAGAAATGGCATTCTCACACATAAATTTAATTTTTTACAAATTTCTTGTTCAAGATGTGGAGGGGAATGAGGTCAGCTGTCTTACACCCCACCCTTCTTGATTTTTACTGGGGACAGTGTAAACAGAAACTTATTGGTACTCTAGTCTAATTCAAAATTTAATTGACCTATGACCTATGTGTAGGAAGACAGGAGGCATCAAAAATACTGATCAAACATTATTAATGCTTTTAAGGAGGATATGCTTGTAAAGTGTAAATCAATAACAACAGTAGTAATACATCAACAGTATGCAAACACAATGAATTGACATTGCTTGACATCCTGCTATACTACTATGCTTCACTGAATAATTAAAAAGGCTGAAAACATACATTTTTTGAGAAAAATGCATTGCATTTCAACATTAGAATTCAAACCCAAAATACACATACTAATTACTAAATGACAATAATAATAATTACAAATAATAACCACTAAGCAAATGCTCCACTCTAAATAGATTTCATTATGAATAATTACATAAAATATGAAATATACATTACTATATAATGACATATATTCAGGGGTATTTTTGGCTAGTAATATAATAAAAAGCAGAGAAAAATTGTGGGTTGACAGCAGAATTATACTAATAATATAATTAATTTAATAAATATAGGAAAATTAAACTTAATGACATTAAAAACAAATAATAATAATAATAAATACAATAAAATTATAGGCCTAATAATGATGATGAAGACAATGGCCAATGTTACACCAGTCTTAAAACTTCTTAATTCTTGGATGTTATTGTCTTAATCCAATCTATCCATACAATATTAAACATCAATCACATTTATGAATTGATCAGACTGATGTAACAGTTGTAGTAGGCCACTGCCTTTTTATGGCAAACTGTATAATGTACCTCTCTTTGGTTTGAGCTGCTTGTTTACAACATGCTTCTGACTTCCCCCTTCACTTGACTGAGGCTTAAATCTGGTACTTGCTATGGCAAATTCACTTGAAAACGGCTGCAGTTTTAATTTTTTTTTAGTTTTTAAAAGGGTATCTTGCTTTTTTAACTTTATATCTTTTCCGTGATTGTTAAATCCTGGCGGCCTTACGTAGATAGGACCGCTTGATGTACTGCTGCTCGGTGATGATGGGGGTTTCTCATCCAGGTCCAAAACTTCCCCTTCATCAGATTCAGAACTAAGAGGTGCCGGTGGACCTCTTTTCCCACCATTTCCGTAGAGTAGTTTTGTCTCATGATCCATATGTTCCTTAACATGAATCGTTTATAGACATTTAATGGATTAGAATAAGAATACAACTGTACACTTTTCTCGATGTTGTCATGGATTGCAACGCGTAATTTCAGTAACAAAGGAGAGTATTTCGCGGATTATTCTCACATTTCGCGGGGTTTTCGAGGTTGTTAAAAACTTTTAAAAATCCAAGGAATGAGTCACATTATTGTTTTATAAATGACAGTAATTGTAACACACAACGCTTCTTGCAAAAGCCTTGCACTAATGCTAGTCAGTTTTCACACGTAGCCTAGTTAGGACGAGTTGATTCAGTACAAGCACATCATCACCATCACTTGGAACTCTCTCAAAACAATAGGATGATGCGACAGTGCTTTCTCGTCTTCCGTCCCGATAACCACGAACGAAAATAGCTTGATCTACTATCTATGTTTTATATTCCACTAAGTTTATCTGTCATTACCGTCAGACAAATGATATACGGTAAATACTTAGCCTTGGCCTAAAAAGCAACAACATAATAACACAGCCATGTTTCATTATCTGCGAGTTTATTTCGTTGTTATGTGTAAACAACTCAGTAACCAAGTTCTGTATTTTTGACCTGCAATTACAGATGTCCTCCCATATGATTGGTCAATAGACGTGACACATGAGTAGATTGACCTCTGTCATAAAAAAAAAAGAACCGGCTAGCTAACATGTCAATCGTCGGCGGCAGAGAGAGGGAGAGAGTGAGAGTTGGTGATAGGTACACTTCAACTACATGCAAATTGACAAAAAAAATTGATGTAGTTTTATGATCAATTGGTACTAGGCCTAGTTATATTTATATTAACAATAAAATGTTCATGACCAAAATTCTTTTTTCAGGTTCAATAGCTGTTTCGATTTTAGAAACACAGTTGTTTGTATTCAGTCGATTTAGGCCAAGGCCTTTGCGTTGTTTGCAAACAAAAACACCGGCGGCAGAAGGAGGATACGAGCCTCATATTTCTTCTACTGCTGGTACTTGTATATTTCAGAGGTCCGAGCCTAGGCCTAGACACAGGGTGTTGAATTATCCACTCAGGAAGTACCACTTGTTTGATAAATCAGCAGTAATAATGATGACTGAGAATGAAGATGAATGCGATGTGCAAATATGCAGGTAGGTCTAGATGTGTATAAGAGACAGTATATATATATATATATATATTCTGGCTCTTCAGATAAAATTGTCTAATTTGTAATTTTTTTCTATCCATGTCATGAAACCCTAGTAATAAAATGTCTAATCAAACTTATGGTTGAATCTTGTAACTGTATTTTTGTTTTACTATATATACTGTAATTTATTCTGCTGTTTGATTTGTGAATCAACATAGTGTCAGTATGCTACCAAAAGTACTGAAACTGCATTTGTTATTTGTTTAGGTTAATGAAACCAGATGATGCAAATATTGCTGGCAACGTGCATGGAGGAACAATCCTAAAAATGATTGAAGAAGCGGGAATAATTGCCAGTACTAGACATTGCAATAATCCAGCTCATATGGTAGGTTTACAGCTTTATCCACTCTAGGAGTGGATTCATGGGCCGGGGTATAAATAGGCTTTAACTCCACTCCCAAAAAGATTATCAACACGTTACTTTTTTATGACTAACAGCTAATTTAGTAAGTTGGCCTGAATAAACCTTTTATTTAAAACCATACTTCTATTGTGGGATTTAGCTAGGAGTGGATTCGAACCATCTGAAATTTTGGTAGTTATACATACAGTTTGCCCTCCAATTCAAGACCACTCTTGGGACCTGAAAATTTGGAGTTGTCTCAGAGTTGGTCTCTAATTAGAAGGTTAGCTTTGTGTTAAAACAAGGATTTTAACTGTTACCAGGATAGGAAGCTGTCTAACTTGAATTAGCCTTATGTGTGGTATTGTTATGCTAATGAGCCAGATAAGCACAATCTGCACATGCTCAGAAAAACAAAACTTTCCTTATTATATTTGATCAGTTGATACACTTAAATTTAGCGTTAGAGTACACCATTAATAATCATCACCAAATTGATATGTTTATGTGAATAGTTCTAGAACCGACTAAATATACAATGCCTTCTGGTTTTTTTATATCTTAAATAGAATGACGAATATGAGCCGAGTGTTTCTGCATTGGTACGTGTAGAAACCACTGACTTCCTCCAGCCCATGTTCATCGGAGAAGTTGCAGAACTACGAGGGAAGGTAACCTATTCAGCTCCTCACTCTGTTGAGGTCCAAGTCATGGTCACAGCTGAGAATTTATTGAAAGGTCAGCACAGAGGGCAGCATATAACAGCACATAACCTTTAACACATTCTTTTTTTGAAGATTGGCTGTTCTATTCAACTTGGCTCCTCCTCATTGAATAAATTTTTTGTATTGCACAAATAAAATCATTCATTATTTGTATCATAATACACAATAACAAATTCATTCATTCATTTGGATTTTTTTATAATATGTAATGGGGTCTAACTTTCTTTCAAATTAAATAGTCCACTTTCAACAATTGAAAACATTGTATTAGATAGGGAATACAATGGAACAAAATTTTGGGTTAAAAGATCAAGGAGGTGATGGAATGATATTGCCTTTGTTATTCAGTATTCTGAAGCTATAATTTATATAACAATATTTAATACAATATAAAACAAACATTTGTAAAATGAGAGTATGGCAATAGTAAGAAAACATTTACAATTTTCAATAAGATAATGATGTTTTTTTGTTCTATCCTGATTTTTAATTACTTTTTCATTCAATACAGTTAATCACTTGTGAAATATCGCTTTTTTCAGGTACAAAACGTTTGACCAATTTTGCAACGCTTTGGTATGTTCCAATGAGTGCTGATGAAAAAGGGAAGGTGTTACCTGCTCCACCTTTGAAGTGCCCTTCCAAAGATGTTGAAGAGGCGGGACGTGCTCGCTATGAGGCACAAAAAGCCGAGCGAAGAAGAATTGGGCTTGGTGGGAGACCAAGCCTTCTCATAAAATCCAATGATTTTTATGATGATGATGGTTGGTATTCTAAATTCTATGCCTTTATTTTAGGTTAAATTAAAATTGAGGTTAAATGAAAAGTTTACCAGTTTGTCTAGCTGCCAGAGAGGAGGCCTCTAGACTCCCCACAAGGGGTGTCACCTTTGGAGCCAGTTGATGATGAATAATTTCATATTTGAAGTTGGAAAATCATCAACTAGTTTTGAGACTTGAAAATTGTTGACAGCTCTTTTGTTTAAACAGAGTGAATTTAATTGGATGGGGTCTATGATGATTATAATGGTCTATTTTTCCCATCGGTCTCATTCTTCCCATCTGTTTTCCAATCTAAATCTTCTGAAATTATACAATATTAATTTAATCCAGCAAAAGGTATATTTGTATACTCCGCCATGCATTCGATCCTCCCCAAGCATTTAAGTAACATGTTTATGCCTAATTCTTCTTTTCACAATTATTGTACGCGATCTAGAACTGATATTCACATCCCTAATCACAACACAAACTATTTCCAACACAATGTTAGATATACAGGCCCCTCTATTTGGAACAATTTACCATTCTCAATTACCAATGCTGTCTCTGTCAGAGCTTTTTCTAATAAACTGAAAAAACACATAATCTCAAATTATTAAATTTTTCTGTGGTTGAAATTCATCATGCTGTTATTGAGCTGCTTTCCTCCCTTTTTTTTCAGGCCTGCCCAACACAAGATGTTTGTTTTTGCAAACAACTTCTCGGGTCCTGGCCTTCTTCCAATTTTTGTTCTTTTTGTATTTGCAATTTTGTATTTTCTTGTACCTTTGGAAGAAAATAAATGTTTTGTTAAATTGAATTGAAAATTGTTTGAGGGAGCTGCACCACATTGATACTGATTTAATCGTTTGGCTTTGATTTGTGTCTCTCCTGAAGTTTATAACTGATTTAATCTTTTCTGCAATGAGCAATTCAATTTTTTTTAATTTATTTAAAAAAAAATTATTTTCCAGGTTGTTTTCCCACAGACAGTACTTTTTAATATTCTGATATTCTTTAGACACATTTGTTGTTCAGCTGATTCCAGACTCTATTGATTGTCAATATAAAATCATCCTGGCTTACCGTACTCGCGCGAATAAGCGCCTGGGCACTTAAAATACTTTTTTGCACTTTTCGAGGGGCGCTTATTCAAACGAGGCGCTTATTCGAACGGGGCGCTTATGAAAACAGAGTGAAAATTGAGGGGGCGCTTATGGAAATAGATGAAAATCAAGGGGTTCTTATGAGAACTTATTAAATTCAAAAGGCATATTTTGAATGAAAAGCATTATAAAAGGACATCAGGAAACCACAAATTACGAATGGTGGTGCGACGGAATAGATATTCGTCCAGAGAGCATGGCTTGTCATGACAAGAATGTTGTGAGTACAGTATTACGTACAGCAGAATAGCAGATGAAATTAGTGGTGGTGGTTAGCTTGTTGGCCATCGGGCGATTGAGAATAGCAGGCATGATCATTGCATATTTTCTTGAAATCTTAGATTAGAATATGTTAAAGGTGCAAATTGTCTGAAAAGGAGTAGGACTAGGCCTAGACAAATGTAAGAAGAGGAAAGTTGGAAATACTGTCTGTCCTGGGAGCTCATCTGTCCAAGATAAATATCCTCATTTTGATATTGACTAAAGGAGAATGTGATTCCACTCCACACCTCAAATCATGCCAACATCCACAGGCCCAGGATTGATTGGATTATTGAGGGGGCGTTTATTCAAATTAGAAGGGGGCGCTTATTCAAACGGGGCGCTTAAGTAAATTTTCACGTTAATAGGGGCGCTTATTCGAGAGGGGTGCTTATTCAAACGGGGCGCTTATTCGCGCGAGTATGGTATATGAATATCTAACTTTACAGGTCTATAAACTATTACTTGGAATAAATATAAATCTTTTATTTGTTGAATATCTTTCCAGGTTCTTCAGAAACTCTCACTGTATCCCACTCAAGGTCATCTCTAATCCATTTGGTTGGTCCGTCTGATTGCAACACATACGGGTATGCCTCTGGCGGTGTCACAATGAAACTAATGGACGAGGTCGCAGGGTGTGTGGCAGCCAGGCACTGCAGGACAAACATTGTCACTGCATCCATGGACGCCACCAACTTTCACAAGACGGTCAGATTAGGTAATTATTTTAAAACTTACGATTATTGACTTAATACTGCAAATATATAATGCAATAAAACTGTTGTATAATAGAATAGTATAACAAATGTGACCGGTTCTGGCGAAACCAACCGTTTGTTGGAAAAATTAAATATTGAGTTTTTGGTATTTTTAGATTCTGCATGTAAAACAGTGTTTATTTGATGGAAATTGGTTGAGTATTAGCGAAGTTATGAATATTCAATTTATTGGATATCAGCCATGGAAGTTTTGAGAAAACAGTTTTCAAAGATTCCAAAATCAATAGATTATTATTAAGATTTGTATTTTTTAAACAATTTTACTATACTTTTCAGTTAGACTTAGCAATTGATATTTTAAAGAAAATGTTCTTCAATATATCTTCTTTTATAAAATTTAAAAACCTGAAAATATTCAAAATTCTGACTCGTATTGGGTGCTCGAGTGATATTGCGACAAACGGCAAGTTTTGCCAGAGATGGTCACAAATGTTACATATCAGTGTTAAAGGTCAAATAGGAAGTTTTTGATGTGTAACATTAGGGAGCTTTTGATTGCACGACGACGGTAGGGCGTAGAACTTAATGATATCACAAAAGTCATCTGCGCATGCGAGAATGTTCAGAACGTTGAACGTGATCTGGGACCATATGCTAATTATCTGTGACATGACCAGCAAAAGAGTGTGATGGATGTTTTGTTTAGATTAGCGCTTTCTGTGACGAGTTGGTTTTTATGCCCAGGCGAATGAACTTTTCATTGAAACATTATGAATATAATTATGCATGCACACATACAGTATAAACTCATTGTCACAGTGTCATCAAACTGTCCCAGATAACTTGTCATCTCAGATCATTATATCATCTTCAGGCTCTCAGTCCATCCTTAACTTAGTGGAAATTTATCTCACAGAAAAGAAAAACAGTACAATATATAAATATTTATTTTTTTGTCACCAAGAATACTGTCAGAAATGAAGGTTTGGTGTACTGTATATTACTATATTATAATAAATTCAAATTATAGGTAGTATATGTCACCTGACTGGCAGAGCAACTTTCACTAGCAATCGGTCTTTAGAGATAGAGGTAATGGTGGACACAGAATATCTATTGGCGGGATCAGATGTCAGGGAGAGGGCAGTACATGCATTTTTCACCTACGTCTCCTTAGGGCCAGATGGAAGGACGCAACCTATACCACAACTCAAGGTCAGTTTGAAAACCACAGTTTTTGTATTAATTTTATAATAATTATAATAATTGTAATGATTGGAGCATGTATTAGGCACTGTATAATGGCTTCTTTTGTGAAAAAACCCCTCAGAATTCAGCTAATCAGCATACAGAAATATATTTATACTTATTATTTTAAATGTATCATGGAGAACCCAAGCATATACAGTACCACTACAATTTTGTTGCTCTTCAAAACTTAAAAAAAGAAATATCTTGACATTTTGCTGTGAATATAATGCAGCAGCATATCTTTAAGGGGCAGAGCTGCCCACCCCCCCTGTCAGGAAGATTAGAAGAAGACAATTCATCAGGGAGAATAAAAGATCATATGTAGTTTTTATATATTGAGTAGCCTAAATTGTCATAGCCCCTAGGGCTTTCTTGCCGGTACCCCTTCAGAGAGATTTTGAGCTACACTCAAATGTGCCCACTTACGATCAGACATCAATCCCCCCATGCCGGGCAAATTCTTACGGCAACACTGAACCCAATTACCCTACTAGAAATTTGCTTAGCAAAATAATTACCCAAGGAAATTATCTTGTACGACCTCAATTTTCCATGTAGATCCCCCTCACATTCTGAGCATGCCCCTACCATATTTACAACTCTATAGATATTGTTGAAATGTATATTTAGTAGTTCATAAAATTGCATTGAATTCTTTTAAAGGTACAAACTGAGGGAGAAAAAATCCGCTATGAGGAAGGAAAACTACGATACGAACAACGAAAATCAAAACGTGCTGCAAATAAACAGTCAAAGCCTTCAACTTCGTAATTTTAAATAACAATAATAACAGTAATAATAATAATATTAATAATAACAGTAATAATAATATCAATAATAAAATAAAAAAATTATTTGTTCCAGTTTCTTTGAAAATATTTTATTACAGTATGGCTGTTGTTTTTGCTGCCATGGTTCTTGTTTTGTTACACAATGAAATTAAAATTGAATACTGTATAGTAGTTGGTCTATACATCATAAAAGATTAATAAATGGTTGATAAAGAACAATACATGATTACTGAAAATACGAACTTTAAAACATGTTTTAATGAATATATGTAAGTTAATTTGCAATATGATTCTCTTTATTCAAATAAAATTTTTTAATTTAGATTGTCTTTATATTTCTTGGCATAGATCACAATAGATAGCAGATTAACACACCACTTAAGATTTTACAATGCAGAAATAACTTTTACTAAATAACCACTAACTCCTTGTGTCTCCATTTATTTATTGTTTTTACTTGTACTGAGTTCCTGTTCTTTTAATTCTTGATTTTATTCAAAACATTAAAAATATAAAAACGAAGCATTCAAAACGGCGGCTCTCCAATACTGTTTGTAAACAAAACAAAAATCAAAATTAACCGAAAAAATGGCCAAGGAAAATTCAATTCATAAATTTGTTCCAACATATGATGGATTTTATTTAAATGAACCTTTCTACCCAGACACTTATATGTTTTGTTGCCAAGGTCTCTCAAAACGATAGAGTGAACATACATACTGTAAACAAGTGCATCTTTGGGACAACACATGTTTGTCTGCCTTGAGCACAACTTGCAGTGAATATGTGCACTTTATAAATCTTATATAATACTATTGTGCGAGACAAGTGTATTCCCTGCCTTTGTTCTGATTGGTCAGTGGTTATGTAGGAGCGTGTGTGGTGCAGCGTGTAAGGTGTTGGAATCCTGATCATAAGTTCGAGACTGCTGACATTCGTCGCATTTCTTGTGTCCTTGGGCAAGGCATTTACTTACGTTTGCCTCTCTCCACCCAGGAGTATAAATGGGTACCTAGTAAGATGGTGTGGCATAGAACATATGTGGTTGTGCATGTAAACCAGCATGACTAGGGATACTCCTCAGGGAGCAGAGAAAGTTGCACAAAAATGCGCTGGTTTGCCAATCAAGTATCCAGTGACCTCGGAAATACCGATGCCAGAGCCTTTGTATATTATCTGGAATGTAAAAGGCGCTATATAAATTTGGATTCTATTTGAATCACACTCTGGGAAGGTCCATTGTTGGAAATGTAATTGCTGTAATTTCACTGCTCAAATATGTTTTTAACAAAAGGCTTTGGAGCATTTATTGAGATCAACTGCTAGGGAAGGACACATACAGTAACTAATAATTAAACGAAGAAGGATCATAGTGCAATTTATATTCAACAAAACATAATATACCAAGAAAGATAATTTAAAACATGTATACTGGATGAGAGAAAACTAATTGTAATTCACCAAAACTAATGAATATTATATAATTAATTATTAATGTTAGCTGCCTTTCATGGAAAGACAAGTGGCCATCAGAAAGACAAGGCTGTCCTGATGACTGATCACCAACTATTTAAATTGAGTTTTTAATTTTAGGGGGATTCATTGACTGAGTCAGGAATAGGGAAAGTCTCACTGGAAAGTTTGATGCAGCAGTAGCCTCTGCCACTGCCTAATGTTTCGGGTCTACTACCACTAGACTGTTAAGGAAGAAAACCTATTCCCGAAGATGTAACCCCTTACTCAAAAACAAGCTAGAGTTTAACAAAATAGAAATACCTACTATAGAATACTGTTAAAGCTTTGTAACCAAAAATGTCCCCATAATTAGGGGTCCCCTAAATAAGGGTTCACTGTAGTGGTATAAGATACGCGTTCCCTCATTTTGTGACAAAATATGTGTCCCCTTAATAGGTGTGTCCAAAAGGTGGGTGTTCTGTATTCTCACAAACAAATGAACCACCTTTACTATTTAAAAATGTTAATAACAGGATATATATATATATATATATATATATATATAGTTACATATAACATAAATCAAGACAGCCGCCAACACTGTTAAATCATATATAATTAATCATCAAAGAAAGGTAAATACAGTTAGATGTGTATAAGAGACAGATATATTTCTGTGTCAATTTTAAATCATCAAATAAACATGATGTTAAGTTGATTTGGATTTTCCTTTCCTTATGTGCATTTCCTTATGTGCATGTCCTTATTAAGCATTTATAATTATATTCTGTGTCAATTTTTAATACAGTAAATAAATATTCTGTTAAGGTGATTTGGGAATTTTTTTGTCCTTCTTATGGGCAGAATTTGCGGTGGGTTCCAAGACATTACCACATGGTCTGTTGCACTGGGATTTTCGCACCCAGCCTGTTGCAACCTATGTATGGTATATTTAAGTGTGATACACTAGCACTCAAAATCATTGGTTAGCTACTACAGAGTTATCTTAAGATTGATACCTGCAGTATCTTCATATCACTACATTATTAATCATCATAATAATAATATGTGGAATACAGTACTCATCTAAATATCTTATATAATCATCGTAATCAAAATTCAACATCTGTTTAATTATCATCATAATCAATATTTGTAATATTTTAAACAATCATAATCTATTAATCATAATCAAAATAATCACTCCATATCATCGAAATATCTTGTATAATCATCATCGTAATCAAAATTCAACATCTGTTAAGTTGTCATCATAATCAATATCTGTAATATTTCAACCAATCATAATTTATTAATCATAATCGAAATAATCACTCCTATATCATAATCATAAACAAAAGCTTACAATAATTATAATCATCAGAATCAATATCTCTATTACAATCACTGCAGGGACGTAGCCAGGATTTTGAAAAGGGGGGGGGGAGCCGTTATGCGAATTACGTATGACCCCGGCGGGGTCAAATCCCCCTGTGAAGTAGCGCACTCTGAACGTTCTTAGGACTGTTTGAGAGGATTAAGTGAAAATTGCAATAGACGCATTATAAATAAGCGAAAAAATAATTATATAATAAATCAACAGTGGCAGATCCAGGAATTCGAAAGAGAGGTGAAGCAGGGAGGGACTTTCACAGACCGAGGAACCACCCACCTCAGCCCCACCATGGTTGGGGCTGAGGTAAGAAAATTTGTGATTAGGGCATCTTTAGATGGCCGGAAATTACACTCTCGCACTTCAATTTGAATATGTTTTTCTAATTTTTTCCTTAAAAAAATGAAGGGGGGGGGGGTGCCTTGAATCCACCTCTGCTCAAAACATTCTTTATCCAGAATAGTCATAATCACGAAAAATGGACATGAAAAACCAGATCACATCCTAAACAAACAGCAGTCACTAAGACAACATCAGGAGCCGACTCGATGGAGTTTAATGTCATACCTGATAGGGAAGGGCACAGATCTGTTTTGAGGAAATAGTACCTCTAGATGGCCAGAAATGACACTTTTAGTAAAATTCATCATCATCACATCACCATTAGTCAAGAAGCGCCAAAAAAAATTCTCATGATCTTTTATCAGGGATTTTTGACAACCATCATATTAATGTGTGTGTGTATACCGTAGAAAACAAAGCTTAAAAACATGTCTTTGATTATGTACTTTACATAGGCCTACTTCAAAAACATGATTTCAAAACCACCTAAGCCCCACCATGGCTGGGGCTGAGGTGAGAAAATTTGAGGAAATAGTACCTCTCGAGACACTTTTATATAGTAAAATTCATCATCATCACATTACCATTATAGTCAAAATGAAACGCCAACGAATTTCTCATGATCTTTTATCAGGAATCTACTTAATATCCAGGACAACTTAGGCCTAATTATAGCTTACTAAGCTTTAACTATATATACTATAGTATAATCAACAAATCACAACTTTTTTTTTCGTATTTAGCACAATTTTCTTCACTTTTTATTGCTATTAATATTATTATCATTGTTATCATTATTATTACTATTAGTAGTAGTATTATTAAACAAACATGATCTTTTATCAGGGATTTTTGACAACCATAGAGATCTTATTCTTATTAATGTGTGTGATATATACTATAGAAAAAAAAAACATGGAAAAAAGCTTAAAAACATTGTCTTTGAGTATGTACTTTACATAAGGCTACTTCAAAAACGTATTATTAAACAAACTTGCAAAAGTGTAAAAACGAAATTGAACCACAGTATCGCATTTCTATCTTAAAAGACCTGGCCTGAGACTTATGGATTTAAGATTTTTTTAAATCACGCTTAGGCCTATGTGTTCTAAGGCCTATGTATAACGTGTACTGATGCATATTTACATGTTTAGAAGTATTCATTTTAAGTGATCCCTGGAAAGAATTTGAATTGGCTCAAGAATAAACTTTAAAATTTCAACACTGTTATGTACAAAGGGGGGGTAGGGCGCACCAATATTTTTTTATAAGTGCCGCACTGAAGCCTCCAACAATTTTATAAGCACTGCGGCGCTTATTCGGGCGTTTACGGTACTGTATAATGAGCATAAGTAAAGATCATCATTGGTATAAACAGATCTATATTATTATGAATATGGTTAAGGTATCAAATTTATTCATTAGAGCTTTTCATATATATATATATATACACGGTACATAAATATATACATAAATATTTATATGTATTTATGCAGTGTATTTGAAAAAACATTGATCATAATACAATCATCATAAGTTAATATACATCTAAGTCACTATCATATACATCGTCATCAGTGTTCACATTATAATCATCTTCATTATCATAATCCATATCAGCTAAAGCATCATAATCAATACTTATATTATCATCATGACCATAGTCGTCATAGTCACTATCATCATCATAAATGTCATGTTGGACATCATGATCAACAAGTTCATCATCACTATCTTCGTCATCATCATAATCAATATTAACGTAATCATCATATTCATCATTATAATCATCATAACCACCATGGTCATCATAATCACTATCTACATTATCATTATCGTGGTCCTCACAATCCATATTAACATTATCGTCATTATTACCATCATCAACATCTAAATTAAAATATTTTTTTAGTTGAGAAACTAAAACAGTGCTTTGTTTCGGATTACTATTAACCTTTACTTTGCACCCCAGAGGTAAGTACCTTGCGACCAGCAAGACAATAATATCCGAACTTTTGATTTGATTATTCAGTAAGTCAAAATTTCTTAAGGTCAGTGTTAATTGACGTCTTTTTAGTTCTTGCAACAGTTGTTCCATGACGTCAACTGTAATACCACAATTTAGTAATTTCAGTTCCAATAATGAAGGAAACTGCTCCAGAACTGACACTAGATGCTTCCCTGACTCTGGCTTATGGAATTTTGAAGATGACATATCTAATGTGGTGAGTGATGCAAACCTATGTTTGCAAACCTGGTTTTTAAGAACAGTTGCATCCAGATGACAGTTCTTAAGAACAAGTGTTTTAAGTTGAATCAGTGATGTCACCAGGAAATCTAAGTTCACATTGCACAAATTTGAGTTACTGAGATCTAGATGCCCCAGAGTAGACTTAATACCTGTTGATTCAAGTTCTTTTGCAAGGCTGTTAAGGAAACATTCTTTTGATCCTACCATCCTTAATTTTGTATCAGTACTTGCAAACCGGATAACTTGTGCAACAAAGTGTTTCTTGTGATCACTTTTAAAATAACAACGGGAGAGATCAATCATAGAAAATTTACAGACTTTATCGACAAAACTGACAGGATTAGCACGAATCCTACACCTTTCAAGACGAAGTTCAGATAAATTTGGAAGTTTTTTTAGAGCTTCTAAAAATAGTGTCATCTCTCTCGATTTTAAATAATGACCAGACAAATCAAGATGTCTTAAACCAATTTCACAGCATACTCTTTTGTCTTTATGGTGTTCATTAAGTGCTGTAAAAAAAGAGATCAAAGTTGATTTTCCAGTTCTGAACATAGACATGTCAATGCTTTGTAGCTTTGGAAAATGGAAAAGTAGACTACTACACATTTTACCAACTTTAACAGCATCAATTCCATCGAACCTACACTTTCCAAAGTTCAATACCCGCAGTTGGCGATTATGAATAATATAATTTTGACAATCAATGTAAAGAACCATTTCCATGACAACTGATGCAGACATCTTACTGTCAGTAGTTGTGACCTTTAAAATCTTCAGATTTTTAGAACTAAGAAGAAACTTGGCAATCAATGTTCCAGAGTTCGGGAATTTCAAATTACATTCTCCAAGATTCAATTCTGATAATACGCCTGTTGACAATATAGTTCGACTGAGAACTGCTTCAAAGAAAGTTTCCATATTCTGCAGCCCAGATAGATTTACCTTTTGAAGATTCGGGAAAAGCTTCAATAAAGTAACTACCTGATCACCTGTCAGCAAAGTCTTACTTTTAAATGTTAGTGTCTCGAGCGATTTACAATTGGTATTTTGTTGGTCGCATAACTTTATCGCTTTATCTACATTCTCAGAACTATAAAAATAATCAACAATCCTCAAAATTGAAAGGTTAGGTTGGTTCAGAAGGACTGTTGATAAGTCTGTGACATTCTTGTAATCAATCTGGTATAATTTTACATGGGATGGGCAAGATTGCTTTGTTATGTGAGCGCATCTAGATAGAGTCTTTGCATAAAACATCAGTTGTTCTCTAGCTAAGTCAAATACTTTTAGTGTATTTTTCTTAAACATATGCAGCTCACTCAGATTATTATTATTAGGTTCCTCGTCAAATGAAAGCATTTTGATTTTGGTTACTTCCTTTAATCCCGTAATAATCTGAAGTGTATACGGATTAGCAAACATCAACTCAGGAAATATGTAGAAAACATCTACCTTTAAACTTTCAATTCTCAATGTGGTAATAAGTTGCTTAATTTGACAAGGTGATAGCTCCCTCAGACCAAAACAGAATGATATTATAGTAAAATTGATCTTTCTCTGTAAACCATCTTTGACTCTGGTGACAGTATATTTACATTCATCATCTTCATATTCATGTTCGGTTCGTAATGAAAATGAGATGTTGCCTTCTCCATCTGCATCCATTTGGTGAAGCCAAGGTCTTGGTAACTGACCCATTAATCCAACAAGGTTATTAAAATTAAGAACATCACATGATGTTTTGGAACCAGAAATGAATAATTGATTAAGGAATATTGGGGCGAACTCAGTTTTTAATAAGTCTACAAGACAAAAAAAAGCATTACAAAAAGGAGGTAGTGTTAGAGTTTTGGAGTGGATATGCAAAAGGTAGCCAGTTATCTGTGTCATATACTCCTTACATCTGTCCTGATTAGGATTTATATCATTAGAGGTAAACTCAATGTGTTCTACCATCCAGTGCTTATCTGGTGAAAACTGTTCTATAGACAAAGCTTCACAAGGTAACGAAAGGTATTTAAGTGTTTTGTTTGCCATCAACTGTGTAATGAACTTAATTTCTTCAAAGTTTCTCTTCTTTTCTGGAAGAAAATCTTGATACCAAGTAAGGTGCAAACTTTCTGATACATTAGTATCTATATATTCTGAAAGAAGTTGGACTGGCATTGACATTAATCGACAATTCTTAAAGTATTGCTTACAATTAACCTGATGAGCTGCTAGATGGAGTGTTAAAATCTTAGATCTAGATTTAGCACTCATTCTTGTTTTTGCATTGTATTTTGTAAACAAAATTGAAACACAATTTTTGTAATCATTCGTTGGATATGTTATAGATGCATGGCATTGAAGATCTATGTTGGGTGATACGATGTCTTGCTTCGTTATGTCCCTGAATGCTTTAGCTTGAGAAAGTTTCTTAAATAGATGGAATTCAAATTCCTTATTTGTCTTGTGAATAACAACATTTTCCAAACAAGGACATAATGCCATTATACTGCTGACTAAATGAGCATAACCACTATTCCGTTGTTTCTTACAGAATATCTTTTTTAGTACGAATGTTAGAATGGTCAGTTTTTTGAAATTATTTTCTTGACATCTATCGGTACAACAACGATCATTATCTAAACAATGATGACCATACATTGCAGAAACAAACATATATAGACCTGGCCCATAGGATATTACTGGCAACTCAAGGCTCTCCATGGCTTTCATATTACAAAGAAACCTTCCCAAGTTTTTGCAAGAATTTTCCTTGGTTATTTTTCCCAGCAGAAACAATTTTGTGATACTTCCAAGACCTGAAGATAATGTCTGAGATTCAAAGGATGAGAGGGTCTCCAATGTATCATCATTTACACCATGCCATGTCAGGGTTGAAAGGGCAGTCATCGAATAGAGAGCTTTTGGTATGTTAGATCCACAGATAGTTGCTGAAGTGGTGTCTAAAATACATGTGTCTGCATTACTGAAGTTGTTCAGTTCCGTAACGATGTTCAAACCCGTTTGAGAATTAATTGTAACACACTCCACTTTATTCATATGCTGTTTGATTGAATTCTTCACAATGTTAACTTCATCTTTTGGACATTCATCCAGTAGATCTGCCAGAGCACTACTCTCGAAGTGTTTTAGAGGAAAGTAGTCCATAAACAAATGAGCTTCATTACCAAGAAGAGCTACAGTGAACTTACAAACTTGAGATAATTCTGAAGTACTCAGCATTCCCTTCACTGTCTCACCTATGTCACTTTTAGACCCTTTCTTCATAGTTTCTGCGACATACAGACTTGCTAAAAACTCAGATTCAGATTTGTGAGTTGTAGTGTAGCATTTATTGCGATAGATTTTAAAGACACTTCTTTCTTCAACAATCAAACCTAGTTTAATTGCAGCTACTTTTAGTTTTTCATCAGCTGACTCCTTTAGTTTGAAGTTTAATCTGTTCTTAAGCAAGCCATCTAAAGTAATTTTTCCAATATCCAGCATTACATTAAGATGTTCCTCATTAATGTCAGAAAATGTTTCAATTTTTTTTTCATCTTTTTCTTGTTTTCCAAGTAAATGATTTACTTTGCAGACCAGCAACTCTCGATAAAGTTCTATTACTGTGGGAGGTACCTGCCCTCTGTCCTCCCACAATGTACAAAGATATAAGAGAAACAATGGTGTTTTGCCCATCTCAAAAATATGGCTGTACTGTTGGTCTTTCCTCAATTTTATCAGATTTTGTCCTTGGTCAGAGTTCTCAAAGAATTTGTTTATAAATTCATCTTGATGTTCAGGTTTGAATCCTGTAATTTTTATGTGTGAATCACACACTTTAACCAATTTGTCCATATTATCAGGCCTTGTGGTTACAACTAATACACAGTTCTTTAAATGTTTTTTTCTAAACACTTTTTCAAGCTCAGATCTCATATCAGGTAATAGCTCATCGTATCCATCACATAAAAACACAAAATTCTTATCATTCTTTATTATCAAGGGCTGTAATACCTCCAACTTTGTGTCATATCGTACAAGAAAGTCAGGTAAACAATTTTTGATAGCATTTTCAAGGAAACATTTCTCTTGCACGTTCTTAAGCTCCATAAAAAAAACAATTTTTTTTCCAAAGACACCCTTGCTTGGATCATCAGCCCAAGAACGTGCAAGTTTTTTCATGAGAGTTGTCTTCCCATTCCCAAGTTCACCCTGAATCAAAATCCTTTTTGGATCATTACTTTTTCTTTTATTATAGTGTGTTGCAATGTCATCGATTGAAATCTCCTTTGCTTCATTTTCATTGCCTGACTGTGGGTATTGGAACATTATCAGATCTATGACCAGATTGCGTACAATCCTAAAATGAGGTGACCATTCGTCTGGAGTAACCTGCATAAAACTGTGATCTTTATACTGACTCCTTAACTCATCTTCTAAATTCTTCAACAAAGGAGGTCCTGAAAACGAAACAAAATTTAACTTGACTCTTCACAACTCAATAATTTTGTTGATCAAAAGTTCAATATATGAACAACACAACACAATAATTATTCTGGACAAACTGGCAGAACCTTAAGATTTAAAAAAATTTCTTTTAGTCTATAATTATATTGTATAACTATTTTGATTAATTAGCCAAATACAATGGATGAACTTAGGCTGAGGCTATTGGCACTGTCGCAGTGTTTAAAAAAAAGCTGCGGTTTTCTATTTGCACTGCCGCAGTGCCAAAAAAACTGCTATTTTTCTATCGGCATTTGCCGCAGTGCAAAAAAGCTCTAATTTTCTATCGGCACTGCCGCAGTGCCAAAAAACTGCAGTTTTCTATTGGCACTGCCACAGTGCGAAAAGCTGCTGTTTAATTAATCAAATGAATGTTTTTAGTTAGATTATGGTGTCAATAGTTGGTTAGGTCTAGCCTAGCCTATATTATTGCTAACATTATATTATATATTTTTTACAATTAATTACAATTATTTCTAATTATTAAATATATACATATGTCTAGGCCCATTACATAAAACAAAAATAAAACAACAAAAATTATAAATAAAATAGTAGTAGTAGTATTAGTAGTAGTAGTATTAGTTACAATAATAATAATAATAATAATAATAATAATAATAATAAAAATGCAGCGTATTAAATCAACTAATGTCTATGTAAAATCTGGTTTTTTTCCAAATAAAATGTTACCTATTTTATTCTGTTTCAAAAAATAATTTTATAAATTATAAGTTTCATTGTAAATTCTATGATAATTCAAACCACATAATTTATGTTTTTAATTACTTAAGCATTTAATCAATTCAGTGGACCTAATGCTTTTTTACATAGACGTAAGTTGATTTAATATGCTGAATCATTATTAATGGTATATACCTATTATATATTTCTATAAATTAATCAACAATTAATCAGCATTATTCGAGCACCTTTATTATTATTATTATTAACTTTATTATTATTATTATTATTATTATTATTTTATATATTATTTTTCAACCATAGTAACATTGAAAACATGAATTATGTGGATAAAATTATCACAAAAATAAACTTATAATTTATAAGATTATTTTTTAAAACAGATTAAAATAGATAACATTTCTATTTAATAGCAGGTTTTGCATGGACGTAAATTCATTTAATATGCTGATTTGTTATTATCTCATTAATCAAACTATCGTAAAATTATTACTATTATTATTATTATTATCATTGTTTTTTTTTTGTTTTATGTATATGCCTAGGCCTCTAGTATAAAATATAGTATAATATATAATGTATATATTTAATAATTTAATTAGAAATAATTATAATTAATTGTAAAACCTATATAATATAATGTTAACAATAATATAGGCTAGGCTAGGCCTAATCAATTATTGATACCATAATGTCATCTATCGATAAAAACATTGATTATATTAATTAACAGCAGCTTTTTGCACTGTGGCAGTGCTGATAAAAAACAGTAAGTGTTTTAGAATTACAGCAGTGCCGATAGACAACAGCAGCTTTGTGGCACTGCGGCAGTGCTGATAGAAAACAGCAGCTTTTTTTTCACACTGCCAAATCGGCACTGCGGCAGTGCCGATAGCCACTGCCGTTAACTTACTGCGAGGTTTAGTCGTCAGGCTATTGTGAGCTAGCATCAGTTGTTTTTGGCATTGTGAAACAACGCCCTCTGGTGCCAGCTCTATTCCTGTCAACATTGGTTCCGGGGGCCCCAGTCTTTCAGGTTTAAGGAGTTGGAAAGCTTGCAGTAAGTCAACATCCATTGTCTTTGGTCTATTAATAGTCAAAATAGTTCTACAATAATATTGAGAAAGCCAAATGGAACTATTCGAATATAAGTATATTCAATAATTAATTTCTTTTATATTGTCTCTATGACTCTTTCTGCAAATTAACAACGCTTTTTTCTTGAAAATTAGAAAACTTCTGATATGGCTCATCTGTACAATTAACTTTATTTTGTTGGGTTTTTTTTCTATGGTTGTACATTAAATAGTTTATCCTAGCTAAAGATAATATTGCTAGTTTTTCAATTATTATTATTATTATTATTATTTTAATTGTCTTGGCCTTTCACTTTTTACATTTTAATCCTTTCTTTTTATATACTCATTAATAATGTAGTTAAGTTTAGTTTTCTGGGGCTCCCGACTTTTGTCATGGTGATTTTGTTGCTTTTGGGCCCCAAGACACTTGTCTGAATAAATAAATGAAATGAAATGAATTGAATTATAGGCCTACTATAGTTTTATAGTGGTTTAATGCAGAATCAAGTCCAAGACCCCAATTTCCTACATTAAGATAGGTATATGGCTTACCCGACACATTACTTAGTCTTACAGTATTTACTACGGTATGTGATTATACTTGTTATACTCATGGATACCAATAATATAGTTTACTTAATCATAATAATGCTTATACAATATGTTTTAAATTTAAAGTATTCATAAAACTACCTTCATCTTGAACTTTTTGTTTGAGCTGTTCTTGTCTCTTTTCCTCTGTAAAATGAGAAACTATATAACAATGCTACAATATCTTTCAATAAATATTTATGAAAATTCCTTTAAAAGAGTTATAGATATACAGTATAGGGGAGGATCTGGATTCAAATTTAGGGGGGGTGGGGTTTAAATGTTATATGAAACTGAACTGTAAAATGACTTAACTGAAAACATACATATTCATAGTTCAGTTACATAAGCCACACCATACCATACAAGCTGATTTTAGATTGGCACATCTCCGTAAATACAGTAAAAGTAAAGATCTGCAGATCATTAAAGCAAATAGTATACAAAACAAATGTTGTTTCTATTTTTTTTGGTTAAGAATGAAGGAGCTACCATAGCTACTGTCGGTAATGAATATTTATAACTTACTTTATCAAACATATTTTTTTAGAGCCAATTAATAGAATACATTTCAAATATTAATGTCAAGTGTAATATACTGTATCATTTAGCACCCAGTACATACCTTCATTTAACTTTGGTCGTTTTGGTGTTGATGGTTCTTCATTTCCTGCACAAAAAGAACTTCTAAGGTTTGTTTTTTAAATTCACATCTTTATATTTCCTTTAAAACAAAACTTGTAGTTTCGTAAAAAAAATTAATTTAAGGCAGAGCCTTATTTACATCTGTTATACCAATTTGCGAATAACAGCGTTTAAATATTTCATGTAGTTTTGCACATAAGATAAATAGTTATTGGTTCTTTTGTAGACCTAAACCATTTTAATATTTTATTATAAAAAAATCTAAGATATCAAAATGTTTCAGGTCCAAGATTATACATACATATACAAACTATTTCAACCTCAGCTGCTGTTTGTAATTTTATGTTTTTTTTTTTATATATACCGAATATATCAATGTAGTCCCTACAGGAATCGTCATCATTTGGGTCTAAAGATTCACTACCGGATTTCTTTGCCTTAAAAACTGTAGATCCATTTTTTATGGTCTAAAAAATTGGGCAGTGGAATTCAACCAATAAGTCAAGGCACGTCTAGAGTGACATAACGAGTTTGTGTACATTAGTCGCATTGATGTAGCTATATTTAATTATGATGCCACAAATTGGGCAATTTCAAATATTATTGTCAAGTAGAACATAGCATTTAGCACCCAGTACATACCTTCATTTAACATTGGTCGTTTTGATGTTGATGCTTCACTGTAATCTGTACAAGAAACCAAAAATTGAAAATGTGAACAGCATAGCTACAGTAGAACACAGCACAGCAGACTTTAATCATTGTCATTCATGTCTACGATCCCATACTGGATTCATTTGTTTACATTAAATGCAATACTTTTCATTATGATGCCACAAATTGAGCAATTTCATTCAGGAAAAACTTTCAGTACTCATTCCACTTTCCAGGAGTGTTATGAAATCTGTTTAAAAGGTTGAATAAATTTATTTTATTGTTTCTTACAATCTTCTTATTGTTTTAAGATATTATGTAACTGAATACTAAATTACTTAAAATTTGTAAACGTCTCCTTTAGCCAACCATACCTTCAAGTAAAGATTTCAAAGCCAAGTAACTTGGTAATCCTTCAATGAAATTGTAAATCTTTTCTTCACAAAGCTCCTTCCTTTGCTCTAGATCCAGAATCAATTGCCAGCTATCATCATAATTCTTTAACACCGGCATGTTATATCGTCCATCAATTTCTGCTATATCCTCTTTAGTCAGGTGCATTCCTAACTTTAACAGAAATTGTCTGTACCATGTAAATATAGACACTTTATGTTCCCTGATTCTTTGTAAAGGTACAGTTTTGGAGTTGAAGCCAAATTGTCCAGTAGCTTTTATTGTGTCATACAGGATAGTGAGATTTGTTTGACTCAAATTCCCAGAACCAATTAACATACTTAGCAAGGGCATCACCTTAGTAGCCTCACTTAACTTATTATAAATTGGAACATGATCTCTGTTGTTGTACAAAACCTTCAGCATATTGATATGTCCAAGTCCATCATACCATCTTGAAAAATCCACCAACAACTGGTTGAAATGGCTTTCTGAAAGTTCTATGATAAGTAGATTGTGATAGGTAATTAATAAGTACAATGCTTCTTATTAATTAGTCAACAAAAATATAATGTACTGTTGATAGAATTTCTAATGAGCAATGAAACAAGACTCTAATTATTGTTTGAAGGTTTGCATAGCAAAGTAATAAATATATGAATGCTTGCGGTGCACCACATAGATAGTTCTGAAAAGAACTGTTGTTGTTGGTTGAGAATATCTCGGAGATATTCTCAACCAACAACAACAGTTCTCTTCAGAACTATCAAGCATATATACGGTAAGACTATAATTGTTATCACCTGAATTAATTTCACTTTCATTCTGATTTAAAAATGCTTTCTTCTGCGAAACAGACTAATTAAAGGATAAAATGGGAGCAGAAGAGGATGCCCATGACCAGGGCAATATCAAATTGAAGTCCTTTGAAAATGGTTAGATAGGCAAACAGCAACAATAATAAATACTGCAATATTTACCTGTTTCCTCCATCCTTTTTAACATGTACACTGCCTCTCAAAGCAGCAATTTATTAAATACTTGTAATCAAACTGTTGAGATTCACAAATTTTCCACTAAAAAATGCAATGGAAATGTAGATATTACTTATTTTAAAATAACTGATCAGTACATTTCCTGTTGATTTCGGTATACTGGGTACAGTAGGGACATCAAGATTTCCCGACTCCACAACATTCATAGAAGCCTTTGTGAAGAGAGGCTATTCAGTGGTGGCTTTAGTGTGGCCTTGACCAGCTAACTTTTAGACTTTCAATCTAGAACGACTGAATGTGTTAAACTGAGTAAAACACATTGTTTATAAAAGTACCCATGCCTAGTACCTATTTTCATTAATTTAGACCTAAACCTAGTACTGTTACAGTACATGGGGCTTGCCATAGCAAAACCAACATCAGTGACCAAAACAAAAAATTTTTTATTAAATTTTACTTTTTATATTATCAGCCCTCTCACCAGGATTTATTGTAGTAAAAAAAAATAATATGAACTAATAGTTTAATTCAATGGGGCCCCGACAGTTTGAAACACAGAATACACTCTCCTGGCATCATCATGCAGAAACCGCAATTGCTCAAGGGTCATGTAAACAATCGCTGCAGTTTTTTTGCTTATCTTGGGGTTTGTATTGCGAACCACACTTGACTTGTTTAATTTACTTAAACCTACAGAATACATACCGTAAAATCTCGAACTGAAGCCCAGTGGGCTTAATCTCGTGATGAAGCCCATCTCAAATCAAAGCCCCCCCCCCACTCTTTTTTTTTAGTTTGCAAAAAATTAGCCCATGGGCTTAAGATAGCACAGGCTTCTTTTCGAGATAGTACAGTACATACACAGAATTACAAAAGAACAAAATACCGTACTCGCGCAAATAAGCGACCGGGTGCTTAAAATATTTTGTGCACTTTCTGAGGGGTGCTTATTCAAACGGGGCACTTATTTAAACGGGGCGCTTATGAAAACACAGTGGAAATTGAGGGGGCGCTTATGGAAATAGATAAAAATCAAGGGGTTCTTATTGGAAATTATTTTAATAATTAAAAATTCAAGAGGCACTTTTTGAATGAAAAAAAGATTATATAAGGACATTACGAATGGTGGTTAGAAAAGATAATCGTCCAGAGAACGAGGCTCATAACGAGAATGCGTGAATATTTACATAAAAGCAAAATAGCAGATGCAAAATTTAGTGGTGGGTGTGGTTAGCTTGTTGGCCATTGGCCGATTGAGATTAGCAGGATAGCAGGATCATTCTATTTTTCTTAAAAACTCAGATGAGAATGTGCTTAAGGTCGAAAAAAGAAAAAGAGGAGTAGGACTAGACATAGACAAATATGTAAAGAGATTAAAGTTGGAAATATACTGTCTGTCCAAGGATCGGAGCTCTCATCTGTCAAAGAGAAATATCCTTATTTTGATATTGACTGAAGAAGAATGTGTTTCCACTCTACAGTTCAAATCATGCCAACAACCACAGTCCCAGGATTGATTGGATTATTGACTTGATAAAAAGAAAAATCTTATGAGGGGGCGTTTATTCAAATTAGAAGGGGGCGCTTATTCAAACAGGGCGCTTAAGGAAATTTTCACGTTAGGAGGGGCGCGAGTACGGTATATTAAAAACAATTTTGGTTTATACAGTAGTTTAGGTGATTTAAACACAATCCATATTTGTTTATTATTTTATTGTTTTATAGTTGAAAAGAGGCCCTCCCTCACCCCACTTTACTTAGCAAAAGTTGCCTCGAAAAGAAGCCTATCCAAAGATTGAAAAAAAAAAGAAAAAAAAAGTCCAGGGCTTTAATTTGAGGTTTTACGGTAGGCTTACTATAGGCCTTAACCAGTTCCGAAAGTTGGCCTATGTAATCTATGTTGCTTTTGTCTTAAAATTTTCTGAAATGTTTCATCAGTCATGGACCATTCTATGTTCTCTGACAATGCAGTTAACAGTTCATAAATGCCATAGGCTCTGAGCGCGAGGGGAAGCCCCATCGGACCCCACCAGGGGCCTTCACTCCTAGACCCCAACCGGGCCCTACACGGCTCCCTGGCCTCGGCATGTTTGTTCGCTCGGCTGCTAAACTTAAAGCTTGCTTTCCTCACTTGTTAGGGTCCCATAACACACCACCAGGGTCCTACAAACTCTGTTACACCACTAGATACGAGATCAGATGAACCACAAAGATTCAATGAGATACACCCTAAAAATTATGAACCACAAAGATTCAACGAGATAAACCCTAAATATTATAATTGAGAACAGAATGGAAGCGGGGGACATGTTATCTCTTGCTCGCTGTTTCTCATACAGTAAAACCAAGATTAAACTTCAAACAGGTAAGCTCTCGTTTAATCTTTTCATTTTATTTCCATGAGATTTGAAAGCTCATCCAATCTCATATTACAGCGTATCTATTTTATCTAATAATAATGTAATATTTACATTATTATTACTACAAAAATACAACCTTACTAGAAAGAAATTATACAATTAAAGCATCAGTTATATTTGTATCTATAGGAAAAAATTTTTTTTTTTTTTTTGGAAGTTGATATATTTACATCGCCGTAAACTGCAGTAAACGATATACTTACATTAAATAATAATGCATGTGCAGTCATACTTTAATATTACCTGCATTTTCGGCACTCGACATTAGCGTGGCCTCCCAAGCTGCGGTGATTCCCCCAAGTTCACCACGGCACTAATTAATTTGTAATTTTGTTTTTTATTCTTTATTAAATGTAATTTAATTTTCTACAACAGCACAGTAGGCCCCTATGTAGTTTAATCACTAAATAAATTATTAAATCGTTGCGTTAACTTTTCAAATAAAAGTGATATTATGAGCAGGAAATGTTATGTTCATTTTACACAATCATTCGTTGAATGAACACACTTGACCTAAATACAAGGCCTAAACTCAATTACCACGGAATCAAGATGATATTTTTCTAGGATTACCTTTATTGTTATACGATAGTCAATCATCACAAATTAAGTAACATCTTAATGTTTCCATTCAAACAAATTTACCCACGTCGTCATAAACAAAAACAACATCATTATAATCTTTAGTCGGGTTGAGCATCGAGCCCCGATCGATCGCGAAGAACATACAGGAAGACCACGTTTGGAGAGCACATGCTCCACTCTACAAAGTACTGTACACTATAAAGCAAGAAGTAAACAACGAATAATAATATGCGTGTATTTTCTGTAAGATATTTAATCATTACGAAAAAAGTAGACCAGGGAGATGTAAAAAAATACATAGAATACATCTCCCTGGTAAGACAAACAAATATTTTTAATGTTTTATTTAAACATATTTTCCCATGTAGACTGATCACTAACAAAACAACATTGGCATATTTTAGTTCTTATGATGGAACATTGATACTACGATCATCTGGGCATTACTTTGTCAGTTTATGCTACATGATAGACCGTTGTGAATGTTTAATATATTAGTTAATTACTAATAATATATATGAAAGAAATACTATGAGATCAAACATGAAAATTTACTAGTCATCCTTTATGGACTGAACCATTTTATCATTGCACGAGTATGTGCGCCATGCATGTGAAAAAGTGTAACCTATTTTAAAATTTTAATTCATTTTTGTGACACTATGGTATATTGTCACAAATGAGGAAAAAAATGAAATAAAAGTGGGTAAAACCCCCACAAAAGACAAAAAAAAACAAACAAAAAACATTGGCATGCTGTGCATGTGTCTACGAAGTATGGATGCAGAACGTGGAATAAACAGCCTCGCTCGACGTTGTGGTCATGTGAGAGAGTGAAACGAATATTTCTAGCTCATTATCACAATCATTCAATTATTTTATTTAATTGAAACACATAGGCTAATACTGTAGCAAATTTAATTACGTTTAGTAAGAACGGTAAAATTATAATTTTAATACTGTACCTATCCGCTAGTCGTAAACTGTTTCAACCAATTCAGGTATTCCCCATGTGCGTTGATTTGCCGTCGATTTCTACTCTTTAAAAAGAGTATAAACCATTTGTTTTTACAAGAAAAATTGTTGTGTCATGACTATAATAAACGCGTCCACGTTTGAAGATTTGATTTTCGTGTACCATGGATTCATGGTACAGTATATTCATAAATTTGACTTGCCAAAAAAGGGGCCTCAGCAAAAGGCCGATTCTAATTTGGAGTCTGAAAGTTGAACTCCGCTTTAACGTACATTTAATGAGAATCAATAAATTTAAGTGACCGATAATGCAAGTTTATTAAACTATGACTGCGCATTCGTTTACTGATTTGTTTACGGCGACGTAATATCCACTTCCTTTTGTTTTTTCCTTTTTTTTCCACATTAATTACCGGTAGGCCGTATGGCTAAATTTTTCCTTTTTCATGTTCAGAAATTAGCAGAAACGTAATTACTGCATATTATTTAATATTAATACATCAGCCAGAATATAGTTATTTTACGAAATGTGAGGACCTAGCCTAGACCTAAGGCCTATCCTATCTGGTCTACTAGGCCCCTGCTGCAACCGGTACCCACATTTTGGTCGACCCAATATAGGCTAGGCCCTGCAATGGGTCCTACTAAACACCGCCCGACATTGTTTTTCAACGCCGGAATGTGTATATATATATATAGTATTTTACAAATAAATAACGCCGAGGATAGATAATGACTTTTTGCTCAAGAATACATACCTTTGACCGACAGAAATAAGTTAAATATTTAATAAACATCAATTTAATTTTATAGACTTTCGGGTGTTTCGGTGTGCTGCCAAAAGGCGTAACTCGTTAACTAACACTGATGATGCGTTTAACAATAGACAGTAAAGAAAAACAGTAAACGGTGTAGACTTTCAAAACATAAGTTTATTTCACATGAAATATACTTTAACCTGGCCGTATGTCTTCTTCGGCATGAATTACGAATTTATAAACAAGTTAGCATAATGTATACGAATTTGATTAAAGTTAATCATGATGACATAATGAATTATAATAACAAAAGGATCATCAAGCCTATGATTAAGTAGATATAAATAAGAGGGTCATAATTTATTAGACTAAACAGCAGGGGAACAAAGTATGTATTATTGTCGTCAACGGTCTATTGTTAAACGCGTCATCAGTGTTAGTTAACGAGTTACGCCTTTTGGCAGCACACCGAAACACCCGAAAGCAAAGATACTAGAAATACAAGATAGAGCACTCGCATTGTAAAAATGAGGTGGAAATCGTGCCCAACGTAGGCGGTGCCCTTCTTTTTAACCATGGAAGTTTTCTATACTTCATGCCCAACGTACAGGGCGCCCTTCTGTCGCTAAGTACATCATACATGTCCAATAAGTTATTACATATAGATCGTTTAACTTATATAGGCCTATATTCCGAAATAAAAGATAAAATGAATATATGAATATAATTCTCTCTCTCCCTCTCTCTCTCTCTCCTATATATATATATATATCATTTGTGTTCCACGTGTGTTCCGACAGAATAATAGAAAATAATGAAACAACTTCAGTAGTAGACTTTAAGAACACTGATTTATTATAAACTCGGATATTTCTGCCACTCCTGTGGCCTTCATCAGCGAGAATGAGGAAAACATCATGAATCAATTGCTGTCTCTTATACACATCTAGATGTGTATAAGAGACAGATTCTAGGGTTTATAACTTTAAATGAGTTAAAACCAGATATAAAGGGTAGTCAAGCAACTTTTTCCTTTTTTCATACCGAGAGCTGGGAATATCCCTACAAGCGATGGTCTGATAATGTACTACAGTAAATGACAGAATGAATGTATGCGTGGACATGTGTTTAGTTTAGGCAATACATTTAAGGCACTATAACATACTGTATGCTAAGGAAAATACAGGTCTCCCTCCAAATAAAGACCCCTCTAATTAAAGACCACCTCCAATTAATGACCACTTTTCTGTGGCCCCTTTTGGATGCCTATCTTTTATCTATTTAGAGACCAAAGACCAGGGTTTTGGAGGTCCCAACTGAAAATTTTCCCTCCAAAGACCATTATAAAATAAATAATGATGTTAATACACCTTTTTCTATAATAAATTGTGAAGTGCCGGTCTTTAATTAGAGGATTCTAATTAGAGACCAAAGCTGCTAAAGACCACTAAAACTCCGGTCCCAAAAGTGGTCTTTAATGGGAGGGATACCTGTATTTAATTTGACCATACAGATTGTTATGGCTCATGTAAGTTCCAACCATATATTTTATAATAACAACTATCAATAAACTATTGTTCGGATACCCAACGTTACGTTCGGATGACTCTCATCTATGCGTATCCTTTGATCTATTGCACTCGTGTGACCGATCGGGAGAATGCAGATTTTCAGGACAAGGCAAGGAATGCAGATGTTTGGTTATGATAACGATGTTTTGGTTACGACAACGCAAATACTTTACAGACTGATAATTTATGGCCAGAACCAGGGGCGGATCCAGGAAAAAATTCTGACGGGTGTTGGGGTGGAACAGCATGTAATATAGCATTTTATTCTTAATAAAAAAAGTGTGTTGTATTGTATCTTATCTACCAATGTACATTTAGCACGGTCAGTGATTGATTATTTTTCTCTTATATTTTTTTCTTTTTATTTATTTATATTACATATTTTTTTCGGGTTGACCGGTGGGGTGCACGGGCCCCCGTGGCCCTCACTTGCCTGCGCCTGAGCATGAACATTTAACAAGAGTTTTTTTATTGGGATATTAATCAAGAAGTAGCATTACGATCAAGTAGTTTTTATTAAGAATATGCTTTATTACTTTAAAAATCTAACTTTTTGTAGGGCCTACTTTTTCTCGTTATAGTTAATCATTGATGATATAGTTTGAGCTGTATTTTTAAATACATTTTTTTTGCTGTCTTTAATCGAAAGCAAGAGCATGTTCTCTTGGACAATTCCAAGCCATCTTCACAGATTTTTTAAACAGTAATTGATAATGCAGCACCCTGAATTGTGTCTTCACACCGCAACCAAAATAAAGACGAAAACAAGAATAAAAGTCCTTTTCTTCCTTCTTCCTTCTTCCTTAATCCTTTCACAATTTTAAGTTTTATTCATATTTTCCATAATGTTATACACTCACATGATATAATCACTCGTTTAGACCTAGCATAGGCTAGACCTCGGCTATGCCTACTATATTATTTAAAATATACAATTTTAATTGATAAGATTAATTTTACATGGATATAGTAATTCATACCTAAACAATACATTAAGTTTAAATATAAATACTGTATAATGACATAACAAATAAATAACAATAATTTAAATGTGTACATAGTATCTATCGCTACTACAATAATAGGATTAATATTTTTCAATCTTATAATCAATTTTATATAGCCGGAGTTTAGTTTCGATTCGGGGAAAAACACTTTCTCCATCAAAAGGCTTTTTCTATGAATGGAATGACCTGTTCAAAGCACAAACTCCTGTAGACCAAACCCAGTACCATTATGATTTTTAATCGTACGGGAAATCCACTCACGAGGCAATAATGTGAAATGAGAATAACGCATAGCCTTATGTAAAATGAAAATAACGTAATGTCAAATGAAAATAAACGCAAGTCGATTGAGAACTGCAGCATGTCGATTGAGAACAACGTAACGTCGATTGACAACCGCAGCATGTCGATTGAGAACCGCAGCATGTCATTTGAGAATAACGTAACGTCGATTGAGAACAACAGCATGTCGATTGAGAATAACATAATAAATGTAAAATGAGAATTACATGATGTAAAATGAGAATAACGTAATGTCGATTGAGAACAACGTAATGCTGATTGAGAGCAACAGCATGTCGATTGAGAACTGAATGTCGATTGAGAATAATAGCATGATGAAACATCAATACAGAAGGCAGTAATGGTGTTCCATACTTCGCGGTGTAAAATTTTTTAATTGAGAATTGTAAATAAAGTACGCGACGACTTGGTAACGAAAGTTTGGCAGAAGTTTTTTTAGATCCAGCTGTAGGGGGCGTCCCATTGTTTGTATTCCCACCATGCATTTCGGTGGAACACTTTTTTTGTGGAGAACTCTATCTTGTATTTCTATACTATAGTATCTTTGCCCGAAAGTCTATAAAATTAAATTGATGTTTTATTAAATATTTAACTTATTTCTGTCGGTCAAAGGTATGTATTCTTGAGCAAAAAGTCATTATCTATCCTCGGGCGTTATTTATTTGTAAAATACTAATCATACTATAGGCCTACACTCGGGCGTTGAAAAACATTGTCGGGCGGTCTCGGGCGGTGTTTAGTAGGACCGCCTACTACTACAACCTACAGCCTGGTGTGGTGTGGTCTGGGGTGGTACTAGCAGTATCTATTATTTTATTATACCAATATCATCCTATCTAGCCTAGGCTCTAGGGTACGATGAATTGAAAACATCGAAAATATATTAGACAAAAAATACCTTGATCTAACTTTACATATGATGGTGATTCCATAATGATGATAGCTACAATAACCCTAAATCATTTTTTTGCTGAATAATCATTAAATCAGCTCACACATCACATCCTATACCCAAAGAAGAACCTATTTTACCAATTTTACCCATCAGTTCAGGATTTACAGGTGAAATGTCTCCCTCAACTTGTGCATGAAATACCGAAACAAAGATCTTACCGAACTTAAAATATTTTTTGCACTTTTTGAGAGGCGCTTACTGTATTCAAACGCGGCGCTTATGAAAACAGAGTGGAAATTGAGGGGGCGCATATGGAAATACTGTAGATGAAAATCGAGGGGTTCTTATGAGAACTTATTAGATTCAAGAGGCACACTTTGAATGAAAAACGATTAGGCCTATTAAGGACATCAGGAAACCGTAAATTATGAATGGTGGTGCGGCGGAAAAGATAATCGTACAGAGAGCATGGTTTGTCATGACAAGAATGTTATGAATACAGTATTACATAACAGCAGAATAGCAGATGACATAGTGGTGGTGGTTAGCTTGTTGGCCATCGGCCGATTGAAAATAGCAGGACGGTATGATCATTGCAGGTTTTCTTGAAACTTAGATGAGTTAACTTAAAGGTGCAAATTCGCGCGAGTACGGTACTGTATCTTTTATAAAAGCAAAGAAAAGGCATACTGTATGTTAATATCTAGATTCATACAGTTGATTTTTAAATACTCGAATTTATACTCAGATGAAAGTGTTCCCCTTATTATGGAAAAAAAAACCTGATGCTAGATCTACATCAACACATTTTAATTGAATTTTAATGGTGCAAATTCGCGCGAGTACGGCTGTATCTTTTATAAAAGCAAATAAAAGTCATACTGTATGTTAATATCTAGATTCATACAGTTGATTTTTAAATACTTGAATTTATATAAATTATTATATTATGAAAGTGTTACCCTTATTATGGAGAAAAAAAAAAAAAAAAAAAAAAACCTGATGCTAGATCTACATCAACACATTTTAATTGGACTTCAATGATTAGGAATGCGCAAGCCTACTATCACACATTTCTCTAATGTTGAGCAGCAACTTTTAGTCGGGTAGGAACGGGGGTTCCCATGCACCCCCAGGATATATATTTTTTTACTAACATTTTTGTAATCCTCAAAGTGTCTCATGAAAGAATTTTGATGTTCCCATAAAAAAAATGTCCCATGAGGTTGTTTGGTGGCCATTTTGGCGGCCACCTTGGATTTTCAACGAAAATCATAAATTTTTATAATTCATTGACTAAAAATCATATAAAATCAAATAAACCTGTAAATATATATAGTAAGCAGTGTTTATGTTCTAAATACAAAAAGATTGACTTCGCATTTACATTTGACGGCCATATTGGCGGCCTTCTTAGATTTTGAATTAAAATCATTAATTTGTATATTTTAATAACTAAAAATCATATTAAAATCAAGTGAACCTCTAAATTTACACAGTAAGCAGTGTTTATGCTCCCAATACAAAACACCGACTTCCCAAAACATTTGGCGGCCCTATCGGCAGCCATTTTGGTGGCCATCTTGGATTTTCAATAAAAATCATTAATTTGTATACCGTAATTTATTAACTAAAAATCATAAAAAATCAAGTGAACCTCTAAAAATATATAGTAAGCAGTGGTTAAGTTCTCAATACAAAACCTTGACTTCGCAATACATTTGGCGGCCATTTTGGTGGCCATCTTCGATTTAAAAAAAAAAGTTATGTATACCGTAATTTATTAACTAAACATCACATAAAACCAAATGTATACAGTAAAAATTGTTTTATATTCTAAATACAAACCATTGACTTAGCAATACATTTGGCGGCCATATTGCCGGCCATTTTGAATGTTCAATGAAAATTGATTATTGTTATAACATTTTACCTATATATATCATACAAAAAATAAGTAACCAATGTTATTAGAGTAATGTTGTCATTAGGAATTGATTGAGAGTGCAGTACACTACATTCTTCCCTAACTCACTTTGAACTACAAATTCAGTCGGTCTGGGCTTTAACTTTTTGTGAGGATCTTCGCAATAGGGTTTTTGAGCGGGTGCGTACCTTTGGTCCGAAGGCCCATTGGTCTGAAGGGTCTTTGGTCCGAAGGGGCTTTGGCCCGAAGGCCCATTGGTCCGAAGGCCCGTTGGTCCGAATTGGTTTTTTTTTGTTTTTTTTTTCAGGAATGCAGGTTATATGGCAGAAAACCATTCCTTACAATTTATGGAGTAAATTAAGAAAGATCACTTTTCTAAAACAATATTCCCAAATATTTTCCCTAACAACATACTAACAACATATAAGGCCTAGTTAAAAAAAATGAAAAAAATAAAAAATACTAGTTTCTTGTCACCTCCCGCATCAATTTTCACTGCCTCACCATTTAAAAAGATGTACTATGATACGAATCATGTCTAATATATTTTCTTTATTTTGCGAAATGTACGAAAATCTGGCTAACTCACATCAGCAAAATACCTCTCTCGATCGTGGATAGGGAGATGTTCCCAGTGAGAATTTCAGTTGTATGAATTGAAACTCAATGTACTATGATACGAATCATGTCTAGTGCTTCCTTTATTTGCTTTTAATGTGCAGTGGCGGTACTACAGAGGAGAAAATTTGTTACTTCCCACCCAGTCTTTCCCCCCTCCCCAGAAGAGTAGTAAAAAGCACAATTCGTCGGGAAGAAGAAAATATATATGTATTTTCTACATATTAGTAGACTATCTATTTAGAATCGATTGAATAACCCTCTGAAACCCCTAAATTGTCACATTTTCCTGGGGATCCGCCCCATGGACCACTATAAACATTTTAATTGACACTCGACCACGCTCACTTTGCTCTCGTCGGGGAACTTTCCCCACTCCCCCCCCCCCCAAAAAAAATCTCGGGGAACTTGCCCCCCCCCCCCCCAAAAAAAATCATACCTTGCCCTTCATTTTCTCCCAGATGCTTTCGCCGTCACTGGCAATGTGTCTACTTTGTAGTAAAAGTGAGAAAGTAGTTAACTGTTTCCCATCGGCCATAAGTAAATAAATCTGTTAAGGTTTTCCAAACACTGGATGGAAGTTACTTGAATTCCCCTATTGTTAAAATTTTTTCTGTCTCCTGCTTAAACATTAGGAAGTTAAACTTACGCTCCATTCGCTTGGAATCTTTTTAATTTCTAATAATTTGTTAAAAATATACATAAACTGAGCTGACAAGTCATGCTAGCAATTACTGAATATTATAGCCAATATAGACCTACATGGTGGTCCCGAACATGTGTTTATATTTTTGTCTATATAATTTGAATAAATTACTTCGGACCAACGGACCTTCGGATTAAAGGCCCTTCGGACCAAAGGACCTTCGGACAAATGCACTGACCCCAATTGGGTAGGCTACACCTACATTGCAGTTAACTACATTTATGCAGAATTAATGTTCCTATTACTAGGAAAGCCTATTCGTGCCACTTAAGTATATAAAATCATCAAAATGTAATCCGAAATTTCGGATTAGTAATCCGAAATAACGGATTACTAATCCGTTATTTCGAATTAGTAACTCGTTATTTCGGATTAGTAATCCGTTATTTCGAATTAGTAATTCGTTATTTCGAATTAGTAATCCGTTATTTCGGATTAATAATCCGAAATTTCGAATTAAGTAATTCGTTATTTCGAATTAGTAATTCGTTATTTCGGATTACTAATCCAAAATAACGAATTACTAATTCGAAATTTCGGATTAGTAATTCGTTATTTTGGATTACTAATCCGAAATTTCGAATTAGTAATTCGTTATTTCAAGTTAGTAATTCGAAATTTCGGATTAGTAATCCGAAATAATGAATTACTAATTCGAAATAACGAATCACTTAATTCGAAATAACGAATTACTAACTCGAAATAACGAATTAGTAATACAAAATAACGAATTACTAACTCGAAATAACGAATTACTCTGAGTGAATTTTCAAGAGCCAGTACACATGTGACAAAGATGTGTTTGATCTTTGTTCGATATTAATGAGAGAAAGACAACTGTCTCAACCAAATAATCCTGAAGAGAGTCTGTATTTGTATAATGTTATACGAATTGCAATAACTGAATTACTTTTAGAATGAAGCTGGTTTTTTTCTCAATAAACAGTGTGTACAGTAACATGTACAACCAAAATTAATGCAACAAAAAAGATTTAAATTTATACATTAAAAAAATTAAAGAAAAACATAGGCTTATAATTTTTTTCAGCTGTCTCGATTTTAATGAAAATATTTTTTTATTAATAATGCAAAAACAGACATTATACAGTACACTATAATTTATGATAAACTAGACTTTTTTTCCAGTATAGCTCAGCAAGACATAATCACCATACTAATAGCTATTTATTGAGATCCTGTGTAAATACTGTTTTTCTTTCTTTTCTCACTGTAGTAAATAATGAATAGATTATTAAATACATGCCAATATTAACTGGACAATTATGTTAGTTCTTTTTATTTGTAACAACGCTATTATGACAGCATGATTCATGTGTTCCTTTCAAAATTACTGAAACCGAGTGAAACGTGTGAAAACTAGGGCAAGACGTTACCGCGTCCCACCACTCTCTCTAGGCCTAGGCCTACGTCCTCGCTCCTGAGTAATTCGTTATTTCGAGTTAGTAATTCGTTATTTCGGATTACTAATCCGAAATTTCGAATTACTAACTCGAAATAACGAATTAGTAATCCGAAATAACGAATTACTAACTCGAAATAACGAATTACTAATTCGAAATTTCGGATTAGTAATCCGAAATAACGAATTACTAATCCGAAATTTCGAATTAGTAATTCGTTATTTCGGATTAGTAATCCGAAAAAACGAATTAATAATTCGAAATAACGAATTACTTAACCCGAAATTTCGGATTAGTAATCCGAAATAACGGATTATTAATTCGAAATAACGAATTACTAATTCGAAATTTCGGATTATTAATCCGAAATAACGAGTTACTAATTCGAAATAACGGATTACTAATCCGAAATTT